TCTATGTAGACGACATGTTGGTGAAAAGCATGGCCAGATGAGACCACGTCACCCACCTACAAGAGACCTTTGACGTGTTAAGAGCCTATAGGATGAAGCTAAATCTTGAAAAGTGCGTATTTAATGTCAACTCAGGCAAGTTCTTAGGCTTCATGGTCCACAAAAGAGGTATTGAAGCCAAATCAGATAAGATCAGAGCTATCCTGGAGATGAAGTCTCCAGCCTCAACAAAGGAGGTCCAACGCCTTAACGAGAGGATAGCAGTACTCAACAAGTTTGTATCTAAATCAGCAGATAAATGTCTGTCCTTCTTTAAAATCCTCCACAAGTCTTTCCAGTGGGGCCCAGATGTAGAGAAGGTCTTCCAAAAGCTCAAGGCCTACCGCGCCACACCACCTTTGCTCTCTCATGCTATACCAGGAAAGACCTTCTACCTTTACCTCTCCTCTTCACCCTCTGTCATAAGCTTTGTTCTCATGAGAGAGGATGGAGGCATTCAGAAGCCCGTATGCTATGTAAGTAAGACGTACCGAGGAGTAAAGGTGAGGTACTCAGAACTTGAAAAGTTGGCTCTCGCCCTTATCACTGCCGCTAGGCGTCTACGCCACTACTTTCAAAGTCATATTATTGTGGTTGTCATAGATCAATCAATTAAAAGAATCTTGGGAAAGCCTGATGTATACAGTCGACTGCTCAAGCAGGCCGTTGGGTTAAGCAAGTTTGGTGTGCAATATTAGCCACGATTAACCATCAAAGCAAAAGCACTCACAGATTTTGTGGTAGAGTCCACACCATTACAAGAGTCACAGGAGGAAGTACCAGGCGCCCCTGCGCCCACCTGCTCAGTACATGCTAACTCCACCCACTAGGATACTGAACCAGACGTTACCCAAGGAGGACTCAAAGATTCAGAGAAGGAATTGGAGGCGGCCCCACAGACTGGGTTGCCCTGGGCGCCTCCCAATTGGCCTAGGGTGCCGCCCCCACAGCTCAGGGTGACGCCTACTATGCTTAGGACGCTGCCCTCTCAGCCTCCATCACATCCCACTTTCCTCTCTCTCTCTAGTATTCGCTCAGTAGTCCGCAACCTCTTACCTCTTCGACACAATCACAGCTCCGCTCATCACAAACAGCGTCGCCCATAGAGTCAGGTCCCTTTCCACCACTTACTATACCAGGTTGAAGACTCTACGTGGATGGGTCCTCCACCAACGAGGGCAGTGGCGAGGGACTAGTGTTGATCAACTCTCATGGCACTCCATTGAAGTATGTTGTCTCTCTCCATGTTGCCACATTAAACAATCAAGTTGAATACAAGGCCATCATATCAGGCTTGAAGCTGGCATTGGAGAAGGAGACCCTCTACTTGATAGCCTATAGTGACTCTCAGCTCATAGTCAACCAGGTAAAGGGAGACTTTGAAGCCAAGGAGGAAAGAATGCAAGGTTACCTCACAATGGTCCGAGCCCTACACAAACAGTTCACTAGCTTCCAAATCAACCATGTGCCTCGAGAGGAAAATGTCGTGGAAAACACCCTCATCAAGTTCACGTCTGCCAACATACTCATGGGCACGGCGCTGACAGGTCACCAGTTTGAGCCTAGCACCTCCAAGCCAAAAAAGGACAATATCAACTGTGCATCCTCAAAGTCCAACTAAATGACTTCCATCCGAGCTTACCTAGAGAATGACGCTCTCCCAAACAACCCAGTGGAAGCCAGGAGACTAAGCATAAGAACGTCCAGGTATGTCATCCTGCAAAACACCCTCTATAAGAAAAGTTATTCTTTCCAACTACCTCATTGTCTCACCCCTGAGGAAGCCGATTACGCCATGAGGGAGATCCACGAGGGGATATGTGAGAATCACTCAGAAGGGTGTGCACTGGCCTACAAAGTAATTAGGCAGGGATACTATTGGCCTACCATGATTAGAGACGCCCACAATTTTGTCAATAGATGTTACAAGTGCCAACGCTTTGCGACTGTGCCCAAACAACCACTTGAAGAGCTCACCACCATTCAGAGCTCATGGCCTTTCTTCATGTGGGGGATCAACATCCTAGGTCCCCTCCCTGTGAGTTAAGGGCAGTGCAAGATCGTAGTCATAGCCATTGACTACTTTACTAAGTGGGCAAAAGCTAAAGCCTTAGTTAGAATAAAGGACCAAAAGGTAAAAGACTTTGTATGGAGGAGTCTAGTCTGCCGTTTCGAAATACCTCATACTAGTGACAATGCCAAGCAGTTTGAAAATAAACTCCTTAACAGTTTCTGTACAAACCACCACATCAGGCAGCCTCACTCCAACCTTGCTCATCCATAGGAAAACGGGCAAGCAAAGGTCACCATTAGGACCATACTTTAAAATTTGAAAGCCAGCCTGGAGAGTGCAAAAGGAAAATGGGTATACGAGCTCCCAGAAGTACTGTGGGCCTATCGGACGACAACAAGGAGTCTTACAGGCGAGAACCTTTTTTCCCTAGCCTATAGGACAGAGGTAGTGATACCGGTTGAGATTGGGGTACACTCCCTTAGGGTCCGGTACCATGACCCTACTATTAATTAAGAAGGCTTTCGCATCAATCTCGACTTGATAGAGGAGGAAAGGGAGATAGATATGCTCAGAAATGTAAAGTACAGGCGTCGTGTGACCAAGTACTATAACTTGAGGGTGAAGCCTCGCTCCTTCTTACCCAGGGACCTAGTCCTCAAAAAGGTTATCCTATCTACCAAAGACTCTTTGAAAGAAAAACTGGACCCAATTGGGAAGGACCCTACATGGTCACGAAGGTGGTAAGACCGGGCACCTACAGAATACAAAATTTTGAAGGAAAAGTCCTAGCCTATCCATGGAACGTAGAGCATCTAAAGAAATATTACTAGTAGCTGGGGGCAGTGAGTTATAAGTTGGTGGTCACTATTTAGACTATTTACATTTTATTTTGGTTGATTTCCTTCAAAATTTTTACTTTAAACTATAAAATAAAATTTCTCAATATTTTTTCAAAAGTTGTATTTCTTTCAAGTTCATGAAACCTTTACAAAAGATAGAATTTGACCTATCAACAAAAAATATGAATACAAAGACACCACCTAACGACACTCACTCCCATCATCGCTCGTGTCCTCATCAGTCCCGGGAGCCTCATAAGGCTAAAAGCCAGAGAAGTCATAAGAAGGGAACGTCGCTGAGACCTTCCTTCTGAACTTATCATAGTCATCAATGGAGGCACCTGTCTTGGCCCTCTCAGCAACATCCTTTTTCTTCTCCATCTCCATAGAGTGAGCCTTTGCCCTAGTAGCTCTCTCAAGTGCTACTCAAAGGTCAGCCTCTAGATGGGCAGCCCTCTCATATGCTAGCCTCAACTGCTCTGCGGTATCCTCTGGTGTCTGCCTCTCGAGCCCCAATTGCTTCACGGCATCCTCTTGTGCCTGTCGCTCAAGCCTTAACTACTCTTCAGCAGTCTCACGTGCCCGATTCTCCGCTTTCTGGCCCTTGATTACCTCATTGATCTTCAGTGTACTCGTAAACAAGCAAGGCAAAGTAGCAGCCACCTACAGGCATCCAAAAGTAAAATATAAAGGAAGGTCAGGAACAAAACTAAAAAAGAGTGTTAGACATACCAAAGTAAAGCCCTCCACGACAGCATCAACGACACCCTCTGGACCCTGAGAACCAACCTCCTCCACCTCAGTACGGGTCACAAACCCCCAAAGCCTTTCCCTAGCAAGCTTCACATCCTACAGCATGGATACTAGGTCACCGCCCAAAGCAGGACAGCTAAGGGGACCCTCCACCCCTAGAAGGGGATCGCCGGGGCCTCAGCCTCCACCATAGCGCTAGGACCATCTCCAGGGGTGAGGAGACATGAATAGGAGTAAAATTGGGGGCATCACCAAGCCCCGCCTCTCAGGGACCATCTTGACCAAGGAGCCTTAAGTGACGAGTATCGGGGGCACTGGACTTCACCCTCTTAGAAGAAAGAGGAGAAGACACCGCCCTGGAAGCACAGACCGCCTCTACCACCGATCTATCAATAAAGGCACCTGCAAAATCAATATAAGTTAAAAAGCCTACGACGTCGTGTCTACAAAAAGTCTACTAGAAAAGTCAAATACCTTTCCTCCTCGGCCTCGAAGAAGCCGTGGGATGACCTGACGTCGACATGATCCTAGAGAACGCCTTGAATTGATGGTCACGAACCATCTGAAGCCTGCTCTTCTACTTCGCGAATAGAGTCGATGAAGGAAGTCAGTTATACTATAAGAACAAATACATGATGACTAGAGCAAAAGTTAAAGGTAGAGTTCTTATCCAACTTGGTCTTGGGTATAGTATCCCATTTGGAAGGCACCATGGCACTCGAAGGCCCACTCGCCTCCAACAAAGAAGAACATAGTCTTCCAACTATGAAGATTGGAAGTAAGCCCAGTAATGAATCTACCCGACCTCGGGGAAAAACAATACCACCCCTGGTTAGGAACGAGGTTCTCCAAGAGCACATATGTGGCCAAGAATTCCTCGAATGGTGGAGGAACAGCAACATCGTACACTAACCGCCACAATGCAAAAAATACTAGTATTACCCTCCACCTATTTAGGGCCAGTCTCCTGGGAACTAGTGACAGGTGCCCTAGAACTTGACATATGGGCCCAGGTATCGGAAACCTCAGGCTTGTCTCCAATATGCCCTAATAAAGGATGACCTCGTCGAAGGAATCGCAGCATGCTGACTCGTCAGCCTCAGCACGACGGCATGTCACGGAAGACAGGATGTGATACGAGGAAAACTATGGCTGCAATATCTTCATCACAGTCAAGGGAGCTAAGTATAGAGGCTACCTTGGAACCATTGCCTCCATTAGTACCCGGGCCTCCCTCAGAGTCCTTAGCAATCTCCTGCTCACCTAAATGAACACCCACCAAAAACAAAGTTATGTCATTGCTAAAGAAATGTTCATACCAACAAGGGAGTAAATATGAGCTCCCAACGACATACCTTGAGAGCTCGGTCTGCTCAAGTCATTGCTTAGCCGTTTCCTCACATTACCCAAGGTGTCACCGAACTTGTCTGCATACTTCCTGGAATCGCTTGTCGAACCCAAGTCACCACCATGGTTTGGAGCAAGGGCCTCAGCATCTTGGGCACCACCCATGGCCTGGCCTAGCGCTGTCTGAGCCTCCCTTGGCATCGCCTGGGGTGCTCCTCGCATGCCTATCCCTGAAACAAGGCCAAAGTTGCCTCCTCTCCTACATGGGGCACCACCCATGGCCCCCTCAACTATCATGGCTTCACCCATTATTCCTACAACGATCCTCTCACCAACTGTCGATGCCTCATCAATATTGTTGCCCTCAATAAAGAGCCCGAGACCATGCCCACCTCCAAAATCAGCCCCTTGGGCGCCGCCTAGGCCGACCTCATGGGCATCGTCTCCATCACCAATAAGACCTTTTCCATGTTTCTTTGAGCTCCTAGTTTCCATGGGTTCTTTATGATTCGAGAAGAGAGAAGACTAAGGGGAGTGAGGAACAATAACCACTTGAAGAGGCCTTTAAATAGAGGAAGAATGGCTTCTTAAGGAAGCCTTGCTGAAGTAGCTTCTCTGAGAAGCTTGTTGAACGGCTTCTTGAAGAAGCTTGATTGAATAGCTTCTTGGAGAATCTTGGAGGGATAACTTCTAAGAGAAGCCTCCATAAATAAGAAATGAAAAGAGGAATGAGGAGGGAGAAACCAGGGACCTCTATTTATAGACGAAGATCCAACAAGAGAAATGCCAAAAGTAAATTCGATATCAGTAAACTCAACAGAGTCCCTGAAGATGAAAAGCACCGTAGGGAACAAGAAAACTCCTGCTCAAGTAAAGAAGAAACACATGCCCTCACAAAAAGTCAAAGACTTGGGGCATGGGGGGCAAATGATGAGCCCGAAATCAACTGGGCCAGACCCAATAGATTAATAAGACCCAAGTCACCAGTGCCTAAAAGGGACCTAAGTCATCAGCACCCAAAAGGAGCCCAAGGCACCAGTGCCCAAAGGAGCCACCTATGGGTTAGCCCACTTGTCTTTCATTCGACCTCCTCATTTTGCCACTTCGACTCAGTCCCACCCAGCTCAGGATCCTCCTCCCAAAGGAATAGGAACACGAGGGAGAGAATATCGGGATACGCATGGAGTGACCGCCTCACCTCACCTCCTCATCATACCTATATAATGTAAGCCCTCTCCACATAAAAGGCATGCCTTTGAGACCTCTACAATTTGAGATCCCTACACACATTGCTTCTCCCTCCTAACCATTGTAATTCTCCCGAAGTGTACTCTTCCAATTACATTATTCATCAATAAAGATTTTCAGCCACTGTTGCTATTCCCGAGAGTGAAGTAGGTCACCTGGACCGAACCACTATAAATCTTTGTGTCGATTCCATATTTATTGTTTTGTGCTTGATTGCTTTATTTACTGCTCATTAATTGCACCCTTACATATACTCGACTGTTGATCTTGCACAACACCAATTTGTGCATCTTCACTCCTGTTGGAGATATTCAATATAATAGTGATATCATGCACTTACAAAGGGTACCAACAATTGATAATAAAGTAACATATCATTTAGGTTGAGACTATTTCCACTGAACAAATCTTAGTTACCACCTCATTAATTTTTTTAATGTAAAACTATTAAGTTCAATTCATTCTATAACCACAATGTTAATAACTAAATCACCATATTTTATATTCATCTCATTAATAACTACGTGTAACCTAATGTATACTCTCTTTATACCTCTAAATCATAAACTATTATCACACACTAGGGTTTTCTCCTACCTTATTTCACACTCCCCCCCCAACCCACCAAAAAAAAAACAGACAGAGTCCCTTATTACGATATTGCCCTTTTCACCCAATAAAAATGTGTCAGTGTAAAGTTTCTTTATTTTATTATTTTTCTTGCTTTTTTTCTGTTTTTATCAATAAGTTTAGATTATTCAAATCAAAATCAATTACTCGGATACATTTTTGGCACATTACCTATGTGGTACAATAAAGGTTGTTTTGTCTTTCTTTTTAAATTCTTCCCGGTCTTATATAATGTCTTTTTTTAATTTTAAAAGACATGTAGGGGTAAAGGAGAGCGTCCAGCGACCACCCCAATCGGCTCTCATTGGTGGGATCATAAGGCCCTTGACTGCATCCGTTACTCCTCTCGGGAACAAACCTAGCTAGACTTGCATAGCGGTCAACCACAAAGCCCCAATATGGACTTCAAAACTCAAACCTCTAACATTGGGGTGAAAAGTTCGGCGGATACCCCCCTGGACCACCCCACTCTATGGTAACCTAGTTGATGATTGAATGTATAAAAGGTGATGTAGATTGAGTGAATTTAATTGCTAATAGAGTGAATATACAACGGGTGTGGATTAGTCCCTAATGAAGCGAGTATAGACTGTAATAGACTTTAATAACTTTATATTATAAGATGTAATAATGGGATGGAGATAGATATTTGTGGGTGAGAATAATCTCACCTTATTATTTAATGAGCCATTGTTTCATCAAGTACTGATAAGTGCGCGAAAATGCATTTTAAATATCATATTATTGGATTAAATTGCTGAAATATTAATATAAATAATTAGATATAATTTATATTATTGAATTTAATATCTATTCACACTGAGATATAATTGAGCATGATTTTATAACATTTTAAATTTTAAATATTGCATTATTGGTTAGTGAGAAATAATTTATAATTGAGTTTTACGTTTAATATTTTTGGAACTTTATTATTGGGCTTTTATATTTGTTTTTTCTTGATGGCAGTCCATGGAATAAAAAGACTGAAATTGATGTTGTTGTCATGTGGGGGCGGCACTTATAATTTTTATTGGATTTTATCTTCTTCAAATTACATAAAAGTTGGGCTTTGGGGGCTGAAACAGAGAAGCTGGAATAAAGAGGGATTATAATGAAAAGGGCTAGAAAAAGAAAAGAAAGAAATGTAATTTTTAAAAGGAGTTTAAAATCTATTCTTTTTCTCTGGCGTGAGGCAGCTGGCCTTTTAAGGGCTTTTCTTTGGTGTGTGGCGGCCGGAGAAGAAAAGAAAAAGAAAGAGGAGGCGGCTAGGCAAAAGAAGACGGACGCCGATCAGGAGTATAAATAATTTCGATGGCTGTCAGTTTGTTTAATTTCTTTGGGAGATTTTTGTTGTCCATCATATTTATGAGTAATTAATTTTTCAAGTAAGGCTAAGGATGAACTTGCACAATAGATGGTATTTTATTTATTTTTAATTTATGCAGTTGATTTTTAATTACTAAAATTCTTTTGTTTTATCATTCTTAATTTATTGTTGATATTTTTTCTACAAATAATCATAGAATTTATTATGTTTATGGATTCAGTCATGTTTTTTCTATTGAATAGATTAATTCTTTGATTATGTTTGGACCAATTATTTATCTATATTGATTTATTTTTTTGCTGCAACATTGCTTTCTTGAGTATATTGTCGTTGTTGAATTTTCTTAATAGTAATAATAATTTACGTATTTTAAAAATGGTGAATGATTTTTCAAAAGGTTATATTAGGTTTAATTTTGGTTTATAAATCTATATCTTCCGATTGAGAATTTTGGGAATTAAATTCTCAATTGAGTTATTCAATTAATTAAGAATAATTAAAATATTAGATTTGTGCAAGGGATTCCCGACGCTTTACTGTTTGTCAAATTTAAATATTTTTTCCGTTATTCACTTGTTTCACTTTAATTTGCATTTAAAATTAATTTGTATTATCTAGTAGTCATTTAATATTCTTCTTTAGTTTCTTTGTTCATTCTATTATTATTTTAATTTGTCTCTCTGTGAAATCGACACCACAAAACTGTACTACAATTACCGCGTTATTCTTTGGGCGTAACCAAGTACCAATAACCACCACGTTTAATAACTACTATATAACATTAAGTGAAGGTCATTAGTCCTATTAGATTATTGTAATACTAATTATTTATCCTATAAAGAAATAATAACCTGGTATCACTGAAATATCTAGTCAAGTACATTCTGAAACATGTGCTAGAATGCTTTTATGCTATACACTTTTTTTCAATTTTTTCAGATGGATAATCACTTATTATCTGTATTATCTTTATTTTTGATTTTTTATTTTACCCTTCACAAATGCTATAAAACTAATATTATCTCTAATCTAATAGTTACTATAACTATGTAATCATTTATTTTTTTTCCATTATGTTTACATTATTTTATATCTCCACCTCTTTGGACCGATTAAATCACCCATTGTGATTTTATGATTCCATTATATATATATATACTCAATATGCAGAGAATATATACATCAATTATCCATTCGACTTGAATCACTATCACTTGATATCTTTTGGGAGAATTACACTTTGTACCTAAAAATATTTTAAAATTTTCACTTTATACATTCAAAGATTAAATTTTTCATATTATACTTTTAATGTATTAAAAGCGTTGCAAGTGACATTTATGTTAGCTTTTCGTCAGAGTCAATGGGTTAACTTTTGCCAAAAAAAATAACGAGAGATAACAGAAGGTTATATTGCAACACTTTTAATACATTAAGAATATAATGTGAAAAATTTAATCTTTAAAGATATCAAATGAAAATTTTAAAATATTTCCAGATACAAAGTGCGAAAAACCTATCTTTTTATATACTCTCTTCTTTCACCAACTGATACAAAAGTGAGATGCTCATCTTTTAACTTTTAGGCTCTTTATATCTCATATTTTAGTATTTCATTCAATCCAAACACATTGAAATTGAAGAATGCATGATCTTTGATAAGGTGGTGAAATCACATGGTTTTCTCCCAAGTCACGTAGAGCGGGAGTGAAATATAATTAAAATATTAAATTTTGATAGACAAATATATGATAAATTATTTAACTATTATTTTCGCATAGAAATAATAGAGTGAATGCTAAAAAAAAAAATCTTACCTTCCGAAAAAAAAAATCAAAAAATCTTGTGTTAAAAACAAAAAAAACAAAAAACAAGAAGCCAAAGGCATTTTTAGGCTTGGAACTGATCCTACATCAAAAAAGCCAAGTTGTGCCTGCCAACAACGCTCTCCTATAAATTATGGTAAAAGCTCACCATTCAAACCACATTGGCCCTTTGGTTGGAAACCCTCTTGTTGAGGCGAGGACAACAGAGGAAGCTGACCTTTTAAACATCGATTAATCTCCTCTATAATCTAGTTAAAGACAAATTATTCATGTCAAGACTAGAATATTCATGTCAGAACTAAAGTATCCATGTCAATATTGTATAACCTATTTAAGATCAAATTATTGACTTTACAATTACGCTCCTATGTGCCCTCATTAAAGAAAATTATGCTAATTTGAACCCAACCCCAAACTTTCAATTTTTTAAATGTGTTACAATGTGATCCAATTCTTGGTCG